ATCACTAGCCTCCCACATGTCCAGTTCTTGCACTATCTGCATTCTAATCCAGCAGTTTTCTCCTTCACATTGTGTAAGCATTAATGGGGGATGATCTTTGGGAGCACAGAAGAGATGGGCTTCTTGCTCTTACTTCAGGTACATGAACCTTCAGCTGTAACTACAAGAAAATCCTGCTCACCCTCAAGCAGCAGCATGCCTAGTGTGGATGGCATCTTCAGGGGTTTTAGCTGTTAAAATCTAAGGCCCAGATCCTCAACGATATGCCTAATTCATCTTTATTTCAATGGTAGTTAGACCCAGATCCTTAAAAGTATTTAGGCGCCTATTGATTTTTTTCCCCCAAAGGCTTGTAAATTGGCCAAATATGGGTGGATTTTCACAAGGATGGCAAAAGGCACAGTCCTAACACAAAGTGCTCTCACGCGCTGTGGCCTAATGTCAAGTCCCTACTCTAAAGCCTGACAGCAGCAAAGCTATTTAAAAAGTTGCCAGAGTTTTTGTTTGTTTGTTTGTTTGTTTGTTTTTAACAGAAAAAAACAACATTTTAGCCTTGTTCTTGCAAACAGCTAAATCGTTTTGGCTGAAAATTAAAATACAATATGTATTCTCCTGAGGCAGAAACTTTGTATGGAAATATTTAGCCTAAACTGAGAATGTTTTGCAAAGATATAAGCAACTGAGAGCACAATCTTATAATTGGCAGTGTGGAACAACTTTAATATTAGGGAGTGATATCAACTCCACCTATAAATCAGCCCATTACATGAAATAGCCACTACTGAGGCATATACTTAGTTAACAATTATTAGTAAAATAAATACACTATCTCAACAAAATTAAGTCTCAGCATCTGCAACCAGCCTGCTTGTCCTTGAACTAAGTATGCACCTGCACATACCCAATCAGCAGACTTATACTGAATGTTTTAGTTAATAAACTCAGCACAATCTAATATATATGCATGTGTGTGTGCGTGTGTAACTTTAAAATCTGATCACATCAGCAATTCCATTTTTGATCAGTCTTAAAGATTACAGTAGCAGTCAGTAAAGAACTCATGCAAATAGTTCAGAAATTAGGGATGTGGTCAGATTTGAGATTTCTGTTAGAAATTATAAGTTTCCAGTGCTTATATTATTGTGCAGTTTGTTATGTTTTAAAAGATAATTGAGATGCTAATTATGTAGACAAGGATATACAGTTAAAATCCCACTGATGATGAGTGCAGGAAGTTCACATTATGTTGGGTTCAGCCTTAAGGTTGGTGACTACAGACTCCAAGATAGAAAATAATCATTCTTTCTGAAGACTGCCTATAAAAATTTTAAAAAATACAAATCAAATAAATGATCAGGTGTAGGAAGATGAATATGGGGTGCTGGATAGAGATTGTCTCATTATGGAGCAGAATTGACAATAGATTAGCTAGTGTCTGCACCTTTGATATTGGTCCTTTTTATGAGACTGACAATATTATCAGAGTGTTCAGCATCTTAATTTCTAGTGTTTGTTTATTCATGATGTGATGTTTACTTATCCTTGCTCTACATTCAGTTTTCCCCTTGCACAGGTCCAAATTAAAAGTCCAGGAGAGGTGGGCATTCTGAACCCCCACTGCAATTCTAGGAGACCCTCTGCATGGCTGAGGGCAACTAGCTCCTCCCAAAAGGTGCATAGCTCTCCAAAATGTGGAGCCCATAGTAAACAAAATAGAAACCCCGACAAATTGAACACTCACCTGAAAGAACAAAATATCCAATGTGTACTTTTTTGGTAGCTTCCTCATGTGGTTATTGGGCTGTTCCCACAGCCACCAAACCTCATCTAAATGTGGAAATTAAATTATTTCCAGAGCAGCCAACGTTTCTGCTGTTTAAAATTCTGTCACCCTTTGACACCTTAATTCCTCTATTTCATTCTGGTTCCTCCTCTTCTCAACTAAGATGCAAACTTCAGACGTTCCTGATGTCTTCTCCCTTCATTTCATGTGTTTATATTACACCCTTTTCTCTCTGCTTCTCCCACATTTCTCCTTCTGTGTTCTTGAGCCTGAACTACATCTTTATTTTCGTTTCCTGTCATTCTGTTCCTTCTCCTCACCTACCCACCCTCTGCACATAGTTGAGAGGAGCAAAGAGACCTTTCCTCTTGACCCTCTGACATGTTTCTCCACTCTCATTCTTCCTCCTATAGATCAAATTGTCTGGCTGTCTTCAGCAGTCAACCAGCTGCTCCCTAACCTGGGACACACTTTAGGTGTTCCAAGGGGTGACAGTTAGAACTGGCCACTGTCAGCACAAACTGTCTACCAAAGAAAGTTGCACTGATTTAACCTTAGGTAGTTAAATTGGTACAAACCTCTGCTTGAACACTCTTATTTCTGTTAAAGCATGGTTTCGATTGTTTTGTTATTTTGTTTAAATCCATTAGGAACAGATTTAAGCTAAATCAAAATAAGCCATGTTCAGATTGAAATATCAGGGTCTACATGGTTTGGCATAGGTTTAAATAAATTTTAAAATTATTTAAATAAAATTGGTGTAACTGTCCTGTGCATACAAGGTCTTTTTCACCCATTTGTAGTTTGACCAGCATGGATGGGATTTCTCCATAAGCCTCAGCCAAGGTGCTACTGCTGGGATGTTCCAGTGGGAATCTGTGGGATCAGCAGCAGTTTAATTGATGCTGGTCTGACACTCTTCCATGTGGGAGGTTACATTCCACATTGCTTTTAAGCACAGTCCTCAGAGGCCTGTCTGAATCTGCCTGCAGTGAGCTTACTACCTTTGTCATTCTGATGAAAGGGAAGAAATTATACTAATGAAGTGTCACAGAAGCAATGAAGAGGTTTTAAGTGCCACCATGCCCTCAGTCTGAACTGGTCCATTTTACCATTCACTATTAATGAAGTAGTGCTACCTTTTTAGATGTGCTTATTTATTTAACATCTTTGTTTACTGGTATAGTCTCATGGAAGTGGGTCTGGCCCACGAAAGCTCATCACCTAATAAACCATCTTGTTAGTCTTTAAAGTGCTACATAGTCCTGTATTTTGTTTCAGCTACACCAGACTAACACGGCTACATTTCTATCACTATTCTCATGAGATGTGCCTCTCATTGTCATGAAAGTCCTGGGGGGTGTCATTCATGCAATCATTCAGTATTCAAAATGTAATAATAATTTAAAAAAATAAACAGAAAATGGGAAGAGGGGCTTTCAACAAACTCCACATTCTGATCGCAACCTTGGCTGTAAAGCACCTTGTTCTTGCGCTCCACTTTCCTTTTTGTGATGGTCTCTGAGGATACATCTACACAGCAACGTTATTTTGAAATAACTAAGGTTATTTTGAAATAACTTAGTCCGTGTCTACACAGCAGGCAGTTATTTTGAAATAATGTTGAAATACTGTCAAGCTGGAGGACTTCTTATTCCGACTCCTGTAACTCTCATTGTACAAGGAATAAGGGAAGTCAGAGGAAGAGTGCTCTAATTTCAAATAAGTGCTATGTAGATGCTCCCAATTTCGAAATAAGCTATTTCAAAATAAGCTACGCAATTGATATAGCTCAATTTGCATAGCTTATTTCAAGTTAAGCCCTGCTGTGTAGATGTACCCTGACAGAGTTACACTTGGTTAAAAACATGGGAATGTAGGAGGCACACAAAGAAATAAGGTTATTTAAGGAGATTTTCTGAGCTTTTTCATTACATTTTGTACTGTATTTATTTCTGTCCAAATCAAACAACTGATTTCACTTCAATTGTACTCTGGTAACAATTTCAGTATAAACCAAGAAAAACATTACTTGGGGAAACTACAAGCACATACCTTGTTTTTATCTCTCTTTACCCCTACCTGCAGTTTAGTTTCACTCACAGGGAGTTTCTTACCCTACCTTAGTAACACAGAATCATAGAATTGTAGGATTGGAAGAGACCTCTAGAGGTCATCTCGTTAAGTTCCCTGGACTCATGGCAGAACTAAGTATTATAATATACACCATCCCTGACAGGTGTATGTGTCTAACCTTCTCTTAAAAATCTCTTATGATAGAGATTCCACAACCTCTCTAGGAAAACTTCCTGCCAAAATAGTTAAGCACTAGAATAAGTTCCCTAATATCCAGCCTAAGTCACCCTGGCTACAATTTAAGCTCATTGCTTCTTATTCTATCTTTGAAGGTTAAGGAGAACAATTTTTCTTCCTCCTCCTTGTAACAATACTTTATGTAGTTGAAAACTTATGTCCCCTCTCAGTCTTCTCTTTTCAGACTAAATAAACCCAGTTCTTTCAATCTTCCCTCATAGGTCACGTTTTCTAGACCTTTAATAATTTTTCCTCATCATTCCTGAAATGTGGCACCCAAAACTAGATACAATACTCCCAGGTAGACCTAATCAGAGCAGAAGAATTACTTCTTGTGTCTGGCTTACAACACTCCTGCTAATAATTCTTAGAATGTTTGCTTTTTTGCAACACTGTTACACTTCAGGTATGTCTAGACTACATGGCTCCATCGACGGAGCCATGTAGATGAGCTTACTAGACATAGGAAAATGAAGCGGCGATATGCCTCGTGAAATGAGGTTTACTGGAGCAGTTGACAAAGGCTTCGCTTGTCGACCGCAGCACGTCCAGACTGCCCCGCTGTGCCGCCAAACAGATGATCAGCACAGCGTGGTGGCCATTTTTATGTAAATGAAGCGGCGATTATTTAAATCGCCGCTTTATTTTCCTATGTCTAGTAAACTCATCTACATGGCTCCATCGACGGAGCCATGTAGTCTAGACATACCCTTCAATTAATATTTAATTTGTGATCCACTCTGATCCTCAGATCTTTCTGCAGTATTCCTTCTTATGTAGTCATTTCCCATTTTGTTTGTGTGCACCTGACTGTTTTGCCGTACAGAAGGGGAATATGTTTATTTTAACTGTTGTGCTACTAATGTTGTTTTGCCTGTAAATGAGATACACTGCAAGGCAGGACAATTACTGGAAGCCTGATTCAGCACTGTAACTCCATTGAAATCAGTATGAGTTACACAGCACTAGACTGGAGTAATGCAATGCTACATCAAACACCAATGAAATAATTTTGCCCTGACCTGAAATTAACTCACATTGTTTCTGAAATAAGAGCAGCCACATAGGTGCATCCAAGGATATTGTCATCTGGAGTGTTTCTGTATTTTAAGCTCCTTCTTGATTTTCTTCTGTTTGTTCTATAGAATGCTGATAAGGTGGTTCCTGTATTTTAGATGAGAGAATACCAAAGTTAGAACCATTGGCATGATAGAGATGTAAGATACCACTTTTACATTCATACTGTTTAAATAAAACACAGATATGCAGGATGCAAGTGTTGCTAAACCGAGTTCCTTAATCAGTGATATAAAACAGAACATCTACCAGAGTCCATCCTATTTCTGGAAAAATCTTAGTCCTTTTTGGTACATTTTAGCGAACGTTTTCTGTAAAAAGAAGCTCTTCATATAAAGAAATCCAGTCTTGATCCAGTCTAGTTTTCAGCCATTTTCTTTTAAAGAGAAGTAGGAACAAGATTTGGCCTGAACAAGAAAAAATATTTTTCACAATACGTTATGTTATCCCTCACGTTTAAAAATACTTTTTAGATCTGTGCATCTAACAACTCTGCAATTGATAAATGTCTTCATCTGGACTTTACAAGGGTGAAGGCATCTTGAAATTAATACAGGCAGTCCCCGGGTTACGTACAAGATAGGGACTGTAGGTTTGTTCTTAAGTTGAATCTGTATGTAAGTTGGAACTGGCTTCCAGATTCAGCCGCTGCTGAAACTGATCAGTTTCAACAGCGG